CCTAGTAAGCCTACAGAAGAGACTCCCAAAACCCCACGTAAATCTGTTGAAAGATCGCCTAAACCTCAATCAGATAAAATATCCCGTACTCCAGGAGATAAACCTAGGCAGGAGAAAATAACAGGCTCTAAGACCCCAGTTAAACAAAAATCTGGCCCTAGTATAGATGTGGACATTAGTGAGACCCAAAAGGCTTTAGCTCAAATTGAACAAATATCTAAATTATTAACTGCCCAATCACAACTGTCGAAATTAATTCAACCTGCAAAGCAAGTGTTGAAGGCAAAGTCAAAGCAGGGTCAGGAAAATAAAACTATAGTCAAATCTAGCTCAAAATTTGCTAAAACTGATTCACATAAAAAACCATCAGTGACACCTTCAAAGACTCGAAGTCAAAAAAATGGCGGGAATGATATTACATTTGATGTGGATGCAGTGTCTCCATCAGATAATGATGACGCTCAGGTCTCCTTCACGCCCCCTCCTGAGCCTCTTTATCAAAAATCCAAAAAGAGGCCAAGAACAAACAATCAAGATAATCATAAACGTAATAGTAAACCTTCGTCCAATAAAATTCAAAAGGGAAAAATAACAAAGCCAGCTAAGCCTGCAAAATTATTCATGAAAAAGGTGAATGATGATGATATAAAAAAGACATTAGAGAAATTTAACGATCCAAATAACGTCCCATCATCAGCAGTGGAGCTTACAAAACAAGAAAAGGTAAGTACTTGTACAGTACATGCCAAGCGGGCCACATAGTACAGTGATCTCCCCATGATTTTTTTCTCAGGTGGGTGCAAAATTTTCGTTTTCACAATTCAGGCCAAAATTGTTATACCAATATTTTATGATTTTCTCATTTTCAAGTGGGTGCAAATGGATTTTCAGTTGAGTCCAAGCCTATTTTCAAAATCTCAGGTGGACGCTGCACTCACTTGCTTTAATGCTGGGGAGATCACTGTAGAGCTCGTAATTAATCAACAAAAATATTCCTTGTTCTTTTAAATTTTTGTAACAAGTCTTTAAAAAATTCAAATGCTATCTGGTGAAGATGGTATCTCATTTATTTTTGGTACAGATGTGGACAGCATACAACATTTATTCATGTAAAAGTAATCAAAAATACCTTATGAAAAGAGAATATGCACTGCTCTTGATCATAAATCTTCTTGTGCTCTTTTCTTTCTGATGTTTACACAAAGGAAGCTTTGTATAATATTTGATTGAATGTGTTCGTAACATATTTATTTTATTTTATTTTTTGTTCCTTTTATCATACTAATATTGTCTGTGATTCATCACAATTGAATAGTTGATTTACATGGAGACCTTGATTTATATGGTACTAGAATTTTGAAATTCTTTTTGCTATAAGTCCATCGATAAGCATGTTGATCCAGTTTAATATATTGAGGTACTTCTTTTTATTATTTACATATTGTTAGAAGGTGATTCATGACAATTAGGCATTTCTGTTCATTTTTTGTCAAACACCATGAACTGGTCTCATGAAAATATCTCCACATTTTCAGTACCTGAAGAAATTAAACCGTCAAGAACGTGTGATAGAAGAAGTAAAGATGGCTCTGAAGCCAGTATATGCTGCTAAGAAGATTGGCAAAGATGAATATAAAGAAATCCTAAGGAAGGCTGTACCAAAGGTTAGTGTAAATACGGACTTGGTCAAGTATCATGTGTCATCAAATGTTGTCGAAGGCTGTTCCAAAGGTGAGTGTAAATAGCGACTTGGTCAAGTATCATGTGTCACCAAATGTTGTCGAATGCTGTTCCAAAGGTGAGTGTAAATAGGCACTTGGTTAAATATCATGTGTCACCAAATGTTATGGAAGGCTGTACCAAAGGTGATTGTAAATAGAGACTTGGTCAAATATCATGTGTCATCAAATGTTGAACTTAATTAATCTGAATAATATTTTAACCAATTTTAGTTTAACCAGAATTATAAAAATGAGAATATTGCACCTACTTGAGAAATAAATCCTTGGAAAAACATTTAATTTGTTCTTCATCATTAAATCAGGATCTGCCTGTTGCATATATTTTAAACAAATGTGATTATTAAAAATCATTAGATAAAATTAAAATATCAATAACAATTTTTGTTTCAGATATGTCACAGTAAAAGTGGAGATATTAATCCTGTGAAAATAAAAATATTAGTGGACGCTTATGCAGAAAAATATAGTAAACACCGACAAGCTGGGAAGTCCACAAAATCTGTAGCCAAAGTATAGCAAAATGTGGTTATATTGTGTCTTAAAGTGGCTTATCTGTGACTTCCGAGTAACTTTTCCATCAAAGTTACCTTCCAAATGGCAAATTCTAAATCTTGGAAATTATGATGAAAGATGAAGTATTATAACATGCAGGCTATGTTTGCACATATCTATAGTGACATTTTATACAACAAATCATGACTATGGTTATTTTTAAAGAAATAAGAAGGGGTAGAGTGAAACAAAATGTGATATCTGTTAAAATAAAGATGCTATTAAAGATTAAAGTTGCTGAAGTGTCGAAAGTCTAGAATTGAAAACGAGGACATCTTCATAACCTTAAATATCAAAGATTATCCTGAAAGCCTTAAATGAAGTTGGACCTTTTAGAAAATAGCTATGACATGGAAAAAATCATAAAATGGACACTTTCATCTCTATCCATTCTAATCCCTGTTCAAGTCCACATATTGAATACCTGTAAGTTACATTTTGTACTTTTGATGTAATTGTTTTTAAAAAAGTTAATGAGAATCAAAAATCATGAATAAAATTTCACACGGCAGTATATTGATTTGAAGTCAACTTGATCATATGTTCATGTCTAGAGTGTAATATTTGAGATATTTTCTCAAACTAAAAATTTAAACCTGAACTCATCAGAAATATTGTTTTTAATGTCGCCACCAGATGTGGTGACATATTGTTATAGTCTGGACGGTCTTTGACGTATGTAACATATGGCAGGTGGTGACATTTTGCATATTAATGCCTCGTATCATGATTGTAGTGCAGTGAATTTAGAAGAGGAGAAACCACAGAAGAGTATTGAATATTCTGCATCTGCATTTTAAATAAAGTCAAAAATGTATGAAAGAAGATGTACATTAATGTAACTTAAATAATAAATATATGAGAATGTATTCTCTTTTCTGTTACTTGTATATTGTTGGTAAAAGTTAGTTGATATGTTATTTACCCTTTACTGATATTTAAAGCGTCTTCTTAGTTATTGTGAAGTCTTAATGGGATATTTGAAATGTCTTTTGTAGTTAAATCCTATTTTAAGAGTAAATAGCTTAAAATATTTTATCCCATGATGCTCCTTCCCGTTGAATAACACCAGGGGATATTTTTGATATTGAATAAAATCGTATCATCCCTCCCACGAAAATACCTGTCAATCTCTTGTGACAATGTGATATTACTCTCTGAGCCTCAGAAAATAAAACCCATATCCAATCCCTCCCAGTAAATAACCTCTATCACATTTTTCTTGCCACAATGTTCTACCATAATGTAAGTTGGTTATTTCAAGAGGGGATATATAGAGGTTATTTAATGGGAGGGATGAAATATGAATTTTATTCCAAGGGAAAATATTTTTGAATGTGTCAATTCTCATATAATATTTAATCGATCTCTCATATTTGTACATTTTGTTAATGATATCCTAAGGCTAATGTATAGCAATGCTCAATTTTGAGTAATCAGTTCTTATTAAAACACTTGTCTAAAAGCGATTCACTTTTTTGGTACACGCGATGAAAACACATCTAACCCTGGATGGAGGATAACCCCCAAGCCCAACGCCCTTGATCTTTTTGCAATGACCTTATCAATTATTCTTCCGCTGGAATTTTGTTGGAATCCAGTACGATTATTGAAAACGGCGAAGACGTCATTCGAAGGGCACTTTCTAAACATCATATCCTTTACTATAGGGTTTCGCTATTGCTTAAAGTGAAATACCATTGGTCAAATGAAATTAAAATGAGGCACAGATAACTAGGCTTATACTAGTTTGATCTGAAAATCTTTTGTTGATAAAATGAAATGAAAATTCAAACATTTGAAAATAAAAACTCCAAACAAAACTCCTATCAAAATTCAGGCATTTATTGTACCATTCAAATGCATATAAGTCCACGACTTCAGACAATATGAGAGAATAGATCACAAAGGGCGGGTACAAAGAAAAAAGATGCTGTTCTCGACTGGACTCGCAATTAAAACTAATGCAAACGCTTTTATATATAGGATGTCTCAAAAAAATGTACCCAAAAGTATATCAACACCATAGACAAACCAATCAATATTTTCAGACATTTTTTGCATGGTCTTGTAGATAAAAGATGAAAGTTTTTTCCCTCATACACAGTTTTTAATTCAGTTTTGCCTTTTTGATACTTTAACCCGTTACGTTTTACACCACATATTCAACGTAACCTCATATTTCGATGAAAGTCTGCATACTACTACATTGTTCATCACATTTGATATTTCTGGTGGAATGTTTTGATTTCTGTTCGTATGCTGGTCTTAAGTTGTTCTAGGTCTCTTAGCTTGGGTTTAGCATAAAAATGGTCCTTCAAATAGCCTCAGAGAAAAAAGTACGGGCCGTCAAATATGGTGAATAGGGAGGCCCTCACAATGTCTTATAGCCCCCTTATACAGAGAGGTCAGAAGTTCAAGAAACTGCGTTGGTTGGGATTCTAGTGTAGGTAGCTTTTGTTGTGTGTATCAATTTGAGACCACCGTGTTTTCATTTGCCAGCTCTAGATCACTGGTGTTGATATTTGACTGTGATCACTGTAGAGCTGGCATCAAATGTCGGAATGGTCGATTGTCAGTCGAATGCTCTCTGCGACACCCATGTCTGAAAATGTTGATTGGTTTATCTGTGCTCTTGATATACTTTTAGGTACATTTTTTTGAGACACCCTGTATCTGTATACTGATCTTTCAAACAATTTTGTAGATTAGATGGTACCAATCAACATGCCACAGCAAAACACTGAAGTAATTTTCAATTGTTGAGAACGTCACAAACAACAAGCTGGATCTGTTATAACAACCAGAAGTTTGAAAGAAAGGTAAAAGCTCTTGTTATATTAATTTCAATATTTGTAAAACTAACGTTATTAGCACGAAGGACATGGTGAAAAAGTATCAGGTATATATATCATATATTTGTAAATATTGGCAATGCAATGAAAATATATTTCAGTATAATTTTGATGGTACATTGATGTATTACAGTAAGAAAAGGTAAACGGGATCGCGATTCGTGTCCTTGCCATCATGCCTGGTCCGGGACAAGTTCAGGGAATGAGCGCAGTCTGTAACGTGTATGATCAAGTGGAAGAACTCCGGGGAAAACTTCATTTAAAAGGTATGCCACGGTTAGACGATTTGCTTTTACAAAACAACCGTTCTATAATGCTACATACAAATTTTTGACAGCGAGAACCGTGTCTTATTTCTTAGGTTAAGCTTAGGCCTACTGTAGTTACCACTTTTCACTAAAAATCCCTGTTTTATTTGATTATAGATCGTGATTTCAAAGCATTCTACGAATGCTCACAGAGAGAGAAACATGTTAATGATCACAAAATCATCAACCTTAGACAAAGAAATCGGGAACAATGGAAGGCACTCGCTAAAAGATCCAACGGCGATGAAACCGTCATCAAAACAGCGTTTGAAACTAAACGAGATGAACGACTCTCAATGCAACGTTACACTGCATCTGAAGCCATTGTGAATATGGACCAGAAGGTATGTGAGGCGGTGAAGATGTTGAACAGTATGAGACATGAACGAATGGAACGGGAACAACGCATTAACGATCTTCAAACAACTCTGGAAAGGATGGAGTCACTTTCATCTCCGAATAATAGCGAGACAGATGATGATCAGGTAAAACGCAAAACAAAATCGCTTTCTTCGAGTTTGCGACTAAAACTTTCGACGATAAATACTGTTAAACTCAGACAATATTCAAGACACTATCTCATTTTTAAATCCTGTATTAGTTTTCAAGATATTATATAAGAATATATCAAAATATTTATTGAAGTCTACCTTTATATAGTTCACTTTTCTAGCAGTACTACGGCAAATATGACACGGCCATATACTTTATATAATAAACACTTTCATTGAAACTGGCTACAGCTCTATGTAAAATGAATGGAGTTTCTTGGGGAAGGTTGGGATTTTAATAGTAAACGTTCACCTGTTCCAGATTGTGCGTCGTTTGGAAAATTGCTTAGACAAGGCACAGATGAAGTTTGATACTGCGTTTAACATCGGTTCCCGCTACGAAGATATCCATCAAACATTGAAGGTAAGGTTTTATACAATCTTGTTTTTCACCTCTTTTCTCCATTTCACAATAAGTGATATTCTAAGGGGTGACAAAATGACGAGTATAGTAAAGCTTGTCAAATCCGAACGCCATTTGAAACGGTGTAACGTGTAAAAGTAATGGTATAGACCCCCGGAAGCATGGTCGTACGGATAGTGATTCTTAGATTTAGATAGGTTTTGGATTGTAAATCCTAGTGATTATAATCTCAGTAGGACTATCATTCCTACCTATTTTATTGATGACTATGAACTATAATCACCTATGGACTATTCATTCTATATCCATGTTTCGAGTCTATCGGACCGTAAAAACGTTCACGTTCGATTTAGGTTTTTCAAACAGGGACTAACCGAAAAACAATTTGACCTTTGGATACCTTGCAGGATGGCATTGGCGAACATTTAGGTTTGAAAGTACCAGCCTTCGAAATATTAGATGTTTTGAACTTTTACAAAATAGAAGAAATTACATATTCTCACCGTGAAGAACACCATTCGAAAACCAAAGAGACCATTGAGAGACTTCGGTTGATCAATCATGAAGACTCAGTTGTTATGAATCTGTATTTTCAGAATGAGAGTTTGCAGTATTCTGGTAAACTAGAAGCGATGGAGAAAGCTCTCATCCACCAGAGAGAGGAATTGAAGGAACTGAGAAAGATGAAAGCGGAGGCACTGCAAGCCAGAGAACAAGCAAAGGTGAGTGACTTTACACGGTGTCACACCACCTGGATTTGAAATGCAATTGGGTGTTTTAATCGTTGTGATTATGTTTTATTACGAATGTTCCCTTTGAACTATTTGTAGAAAGAGATGTCGAAGTTTGAACAAGAGACCTACGAGGCCAGCAGGCAACGTCATCAGCAGCTTCAAACCACACGGAAGGAAGTTGACCAACGTAAAGAGATGGCTGAAAAGGTTGAAAGACGTGTAAGTTCATTGTTATATTTTGTATGGTAAATACGAGCATGTTTTTCGGATGGCGAGCCTATCAGAATCCTGAATTTCAACAATTTCATTCATTTTTACCTACGTTTCCAGGCAAACAGAGCCACCATGATCGTAGACCACCAACAGGATCAAAAGACTTCACAAATGAAGCAACAGAAGCAAAAACATCAGAGACAGATCCTGACATATGAGCATGCATTCGATCGAATCAAACAAGCAACGGGCGTGACGGACATTGATGACGTAGTCGCACGTGTGATGACTCAACGGGACACGCATGTGCATTTGACAAAGCAAAAAACCGAGAAAGAACAACAGAGGAGTCGACTCGTTGAGATGAAAGCCAAATTACAAAAAGAATATCATGATATGAAGTTTAGTGGAGAGAACAAGCTTTCTAAGTATGTCAAATTTCAATGATTTGTACTGTAAAGGATATTATATCACAATTTAAATGATCTATCCTTACCTTCATTCTTTCATGAGTTACCAAATATACGACCAGAGACTTGGGCATTTATGTTCATTAATCATACGATCAACCAATAGGACACAACATTTTACATCCAGGCAGATGGTGGAGCTGCCGGTGTTGTATGGATAGTCAGATATCCGCTTGTCTATATCTGTATAGTCCCATTCTGCATTGATTCATGAAATAGCTTACTTTATAGACTAGTTTGAAAAGTTTCTTTTTTCAAACTAAGCCTAGTCATAAAATATAAAGAGGGGGATAATGCTCCTTCCGGGAAAACAGGATCGTGTAGATGCTAATACAAATAGGGACAGTACTTCCCTAGTGACAAAGAATGATACTTACATTGCTGTTAATTTTAGGAGCCAACAAAAACTCGAGACAGCGCAAGAAGAACTGAGGAAGCTGGAACTAAAGAATGAAAAGAGCAGGGACAAGCTGGAGAGAGTTGGAACTGTCCTCGTTAAAGTAAAGACGGGTATGAAATCTTTAGAGGACAAACTTCGTGAGGTTCACATTCTACCAGTAAGCATTGATACTATTAACTGATGATACTCGTATTTACGACGGCGTGATAATTTGCATGTCCAGATTACCTCCAGATTGCATAATAATTAGACAATCATTGTCCAAAAATCTCGGCCGAGTCAACTTTTTAAAACCTTGAAGAACTTATCATTGTTTTAAACTGATTATGTATTCATGACTACAATCATGAAAAGGTCACAAAACAAACAAAAGTAAAAAACAAAAGTAACAAATGTAAAGGCGTTAGAAGCTACATTTTATGCTTTTGCTTTACAGCCTGATCGCAACTACAGTATAAGTGGTGATGTCACCGAGACCACGAGCATTTGTTGTAAGAAGGTTGACCGACTGATGGACTCCATGACGCCTGGCCGCACACCCAGTAAAATCACGTCAGAACTCGCCTCTGATGAATTCCATGAATTCCTTGCTGAAAGATTACCAACTGAGAATATCCGTATACAGGTGCAAGAGCATACTGACGCTAATATCTCAGAGTTTGATTTTGATAGTGCCGAGGAGAATGAAGACTCCTTTACTAGAGATGACATTAAAAAGAATGGACAGAGGTTATTGGACTCGAAGTTGAAGCCAAAGAAGAAACGCGGCAAGAGAAAGTAGTACTTTTGCTACACGATGAAATTCAATTTATGAACACTTTGATGAAATTATGAACTTAATCCACATTTACAATCGTGCTTTTATTTTTAAAAACTATTTGAGCAAATACATTTTTACAATATTGAACCGGATCAGTTCTGATGCGTATAACTAACTTAAGTCCAAATCAATAGTCTTTGTCAACATCACAGTGCAAATTAAATGCTATTGCATTACGGGTTTTCCATATCATATTAATTTTTGATTATCACACTTATTGATTGGTTTATTGTCTCACAGACAGCTTTTTGTGCGTTTTCCGTTGACATGATATAAGTAGACATGAACAGTTGATGCGCTTGTAGGCTGTAAAACTGTTAAACTTGTGAAAATATCATTCTGTTCCTTAACTAGAGGCATTATAATTTAGCCTTCATTTCCTGCTTTAATTGGTCCCTCAGGAGACGTCGAAGAATCTTCCCACTTGGAGATTTCGGGATCTCGCTGACAAAGCGAACACCTCCACGTAAGCGTTTGTGTGGCGCGCATTCCCCTGAAACATGGAATAAATGTTGAAAAATCAGACAGTACGTATGACAAAAATCCAATGTCCACAAAAAAGAAATGTCATCAACATAATTTTGATGGCGTGTCTACACAGACTTACTCGCTATAAACTTCTTCACAGTTTCTTCAGATAGTTGAGCCCCGGGTTTCTTGACAATGTATGCACGTGGTAGTTCCCCAGCTTCCAGATCGGGTACGCCAATCACGGCCACGTCTGCTACCCCCTCAAACGCTATCAGCAACGCCTCCAATTCGGCTGGTGGTACCTGTATGAAAGGTGATAACCTTCAAATCATCACTACTGACTCCAGTTGCTCTTTGAAAATTGTCATGATACACAGATACGAATTTTATTCATATTTATGCAAAAATTCTTTGCACAAACATTAACTAAAGGAAAAATTGCCATGACCAACATTCCATATTATGTATTGTTACCCTATTTTATGTTATATTATGTTCTATAATTCTTAGTATTGGGATTATCTTCATCTTGAAATGTGTTCAAGATTGTTCTCATTTACCTGAAATCCTTTATATTTGATAAGCTCTTTCAATCGATCAACAATGAAGACACAACCATCCTCATCAATGTGTCCAATATCACCAGTGTGTAGCCATCCGTTCTTATCAAGCGTGGCAGCGGTAGAATCTGGACGATTCCAATATCCCTTCATGTTCTGTGGTCCACGGCACCACAGTTCACCGTCCTCATTGACTCCAAGTTCTCTTCCATTGCTTATGTCTACAAACTGAAAGAGGTTTGGGATGATCATTCCAGTGGGCCCAACGTCAATTATTTCACATTGACCCATACAAAGCCTACTTGCACATTTAACAGATCGTGCTTGTACACATCTGAGAAAGTTTGTCCTTATCTTGGGCCCAGCATTTGATTCTATAATTTCACAAAATTTAAACTTGTCTGTAGCCTCATTACCTTTATCTCTGTATTTGGTATAATCATTCCAGCCGACCCATATTTAAACTTATCACGGGGACTCGTGGTCACCACGGGACTGGTCTCCGTCAAACCATAACCTAAAAGAACATGGTCTCTGTCAGAGCTTGTAGGCTACAGTATTTTGAAGGGGACGAAGTATTTATGGGCTTGCATGAATTTATGAGTTCTAGCCTATATGATTTATTAAAGAAATTATCATTTCCTCTTACAATGTCACAATAGATAAATGTGCAGTTATGCACTATGCAATTAACTTTGTATTCCAAAAGACACCAATCCAGTAAAAAGTACAAGATAGCCCCCAGGTACGTGACAAACTACACTTTTGTATATACTGAATGAATGTTCTGTATACCTTGTCGTAGAGTTTTGTTGCCTCCTAAACGTTTGATCAGCTCGTCAGTTAGTTCTTTCCCCAAAGGTGCAGCTCCTGAGCCCAACTCCTCCACACAAGACAAGTCATAATTGCTCACCAGAGGGCTCTTAGCGAGGAATAAAACCAGTGGGGGCACAAGGTTCAAACTGGAGGCCTAGGTGATCAAATATATATGGTGTATTCAAAATACGTTCGCACAAATTATCGATAAATATCAGGCCTCCTAGACTTCCAACAACGCGAACATCAGTTCTGATACCGCGAACTACGTTCCTTGCACTCGAACCACGAATCTCATATCGCGAACGTGAAATCTTATGTCGCGCACCACCATTTCCTTGTTTCCGAACATATTTCTTGTACCGCGCACAAAGATCCGTTACCGCGAACCACGCATCTGATCGAAAAAAGTCCGTAATTTTGTTCGTAGTATTACGCATAAGTGTAATTCCAAAGAGGTGTTTTCATGTGGAATGCGGAAGAAATATTTTCCCAGTTTTTCATGCATGTGAATGAATATCCAATCATTGACGATAACAGCATGTTCAAGCTCTAGGAAACACAAGATATTGGGACTACCTTGCAATCACGCGCATTGACATTTTCAGTGAAAGGGCTGGGTAATAACAACAAAAACCTGACTTATAGTAACAACACGTATGGCCAAATTAGTGACATCCTCCGATCACAGGGCTTCAAAATCCAGAATATCTTCTTTCTCTTTACCAGCTTTTTCCAAATTTGTCCATTTGAGCCGATGATTGCATCATAATAAAGAAATGAGTTACCCTATGTACAATATTCCTGATTTTATAGAATACTTGATGTGCTATATCTGTCGCTCCAGCTACTGATAATTTGAAGATGCTACCCTTTGCCTGTCAACGTTTTAGATGAAAACTTAACTTAAATGTTGCCCCCTCCCCCATTACGGCTTGTGGGATTAACTGTTTACATACAGGAAAATAACAATCTATCATCCTGATAAATATTTTAACACTTGGTTTTTGTTTCAAAACATATATCAAATGACTACTAAATCGTAATTTTAGGGTAAGGGCTAAGGATACTTTATCTGTCTAATTTTTTTTTTAGTTTTTATGGTTCATTTATTGAAATCATATATATATAATACATTAACAGGGCCTAGGCGAAAGCATTATTGGCCCTGTGAGAATACAACATACAAATTATTACAGATGGCTTTTTGTTGAAACAACTGATTAAATGTTATAAATTGATAATTCAAATAATTTCCATTATTTTACAGAGAAAGTTAGTAAAAATCTTAAATACACAACCTTTGATTTTGTTATTCACTAAATTATCTCCAAACAAAAGTGTATTGGTCTTTTGTTCTAAAGTGCATCCAATTAAAAAGAAATGGTTCAGTTCTGGCATCACCCTAAGCTCCCCCCAAAGTTCTTCTCTTTCTTTAACTAACATATTATATCATATTTTGATATATCTAATTTGTTACCAGTTTCACACAGACTCACAATTGAAATATTTTCTTGTTTAACCAATAACTTAAGACTTTCAAACCTGTTTCCATTGTCGGCTGAGAGACTATTAATATTTGTAAACAGAATATTCACATTTTCGGTATAATTGTTTGGGCCTGGATTTGGTTTTATGTCAAATGCTAATAGGAGAAGTTGTCTTAACACATCTTCATGAAATGCTAGATTTAGAAAAATTGAACTTCCTGGTATTAATAGAAAACAACTCATTGTGAAAACAAACATGCATATAGACCTTGGATTAATTTGATGTTTTGAAGGTAATTGTACAACCCAGAGTGCTATCAATGGTGTTACAAAAGATAACATTTTTGCAATTATAAAGATGGCAAATAGTATTTCCAAATGCATATTTAAAAGCAAGTGTTGAAAGAAGCTACATATAAAGATTATAAGAGGAAGATTACAACAATTGCTGGAAATATGCAACATACTAATAATGAGCCAATTTGAAAATAATGTGTTCACTCTAGGGCTGTTTCCTATTTTGTTGACATGGTTAAATCCAAGATTATTGAATGCACCTATTCTTCCCCGCCAAAGGGTTAATTCAATGCACATCAAAGATGTAGTTTGTGGGAACCCAGGATAATGCCAGACTGAAGTAATTTTCTACATGGATGCAAATATAAAGACTATACATGACAGTAAAAGAATATTATCTGTCTCCCTGGATAAATAAGTCAACATTCAAACATGTATTGACTTAATTTGACTCTTACTTAAGGTTTATCTGTCTAATCGTTGACCGTCTGAAATAAATGTGTGTTGACGAGTCCTGTAGTTAATTAATCTTGGTTTTAAAACCGAAGCTTTCATTGTGGGCTGTTCTGCCCCACCCATGGGCCATTTTGCCCTACTCTCAACATTATTTTCGAACACTCTGAAAAATCACAGAAAATGTGAAATATAATCCCTTCATAAGATGGAACATGAAAGTTCGCGATGATTGACAGATTAGAAAAACCTCTGCACGGATCAAACTATTATGAGGGCCGTTTTGCCCCATGTTCCCAAAACATTCCTGACTTCAGCAACCAGGACGATATCTGACCCAAGACATGTGGAGCGCTAAAATGTCGGACCCTTTTTCTGGGCCCATCTCAGAGGGAGGGGCGGGCCAGTGCATCTACACAGAATACAGCCATAACTGATTACTACAATGTAGGTGTACTGTATAAAAGTAAACCTTGTAGTTAAAGGCCGCATGATGCAGTGTGACCAGGATCACACTGACCATGGTCAGAATGACCAGCTAGACATGATGAAATAACTTTTCAGTCCTCTGAAAAGGTCACTGTAAATAGCTTTAAGTAGGAGCATAGGAAAGGTCAATGAACAGAGTCTTTTGAATTTTTCAGAAATGTGCCCAATATATTGCTATAAATGATACAATCTTTAAAATTTTAGAAACTTGTCTGAAAAAATGGCGGTCATAAAAAGGAAAAAAATATCGCATTTACAAATGACATCTATTACACCACACCGTGCGCAGATACTCTCTGATCCCAAAAATGAATGACCGTGGGACGCAGTGCTTTCCTTTGACGCATCATTTAAAGCCCTGCCAACTCGGGGCATGGATGTAAATCTTAAGATTACGTTTCAAAATACAGTGACGAATGGGTCATCTAACATGCAAGTGCATGCTTTTCATAGGAACGAAAGTCCGGCGAAAGCGGAGGAGAAACTGAATTTCGTTTCCTTGTTTCACTCCGTTGCATGGTATATACATGTAACTTTGAATCCCAAACACCCGGATGTATTATGTACAAATTGTTCGCGGTAACGGATCTCTGTGCGAGGTACAAGAAATATGTTCGGAAACAAGGAAATGGTGGTGCGCGACATAAGATTTCACGTTCGCGATATAAGATTCGTGGTTCGAGTGCAAGGAACGTAGTTCGCGGTATCAGAACTGATGTTCGCGTTGTTGGAAGTCTAGGAGGCCTGAATATACGAGGTGTATTCAAAAATACATTTCTCCAACATCTATATATTAATAAAATGCTATTTGAATCAAACATAGAGATGGGTTAAAAGTACATTATAATTTAGAAAAAACACATTAAGAGAAATCTACTCTAAAAATTGTTTAGAATTCTCATTGATAAAATATATTCTCTATAACTTAAAGTGCAACAGGAATCTACTCTATCTATTCTATAAGGAACGGGTAAAGAACAAAATAGCAGGAGAAAGAAAGCAATCAGCCATTGTGCATTTTTATTGAAGCATATGCTATCGCATGGATACAGTACCGTCGGTTCTAGGATAGATCCGGAGCTCGGTGAAGATGAGGATGGGGGTACAGTGGGAACTGACATTCATTAACTGAGTTTGATCATATGATAGGTTCTCTCCATTGGATATTCCAAAGAACTAAAAAGAATTATATCCAGGGTTATAACTTATATCTTCACCATCTAGCTTCTTACTACAGTAGTTCAAAAAGAATGAAGCTTGGATAAGAAGCGAAATACTTGTACTAAGGAAGAGAATAACTTATTGAATGCTCAAGAATTACGAAAATATGATCTTAACACTAACAAACTTGACAGGACACCATTGGTCCATATTCTAATAGGGCGATGTGGAATTACACTTTGAAATGTCAAATCATATCATCGAGTTTGCTGCTTAACTAGGCTTACCCTATATTTCTCAACCGCTCGTAAATACTGCTCTTGTTCAAAACGCGGCAATGTGACAACTTTAGTTCCGTTTCTTATTGAGCCAGCAATGACCATGATGCCGTAAAGGTGGAACAAGGGAAGTATAAGAACGGTAGATCTTCTAACTGAACTTGTGTTCCGAAAAGGAGCGTGGCTAGAAATGAAAAGTAAGTTGTGAGCTTCCAACCAAATCAACCAACACAGTGATTGGAGACTTGAACCATGGTAACACGGAGGTTGCGCAACATACTGTCCAGCATAAATAATCTATGGCTTACGCAAAGGCATTTGCTAAAGCCCCCCTCACATATGAACGAAAACCCCTTTACGTCAACTTGCGTATAGTGGCGAATAGGAAATTAGTCAAATTCGTTCTCATTAGTACGAGTTCGTGACAGTACGTCGCAGTGTTCGTATAGATCCGTTTGTCAGCGTTTACCTCGGTTGAAATTAGTCTTTTTCGTCGGAAAATTTTGAACATGTTCAAAAAATTGCAGCGAATAAAAGTTGCGTGTGTCATTCGTTGAAATTCGTTTCAATGCGTTAACGATCGGTTAACCTTCGCATTGGCTTCGTCAAGTGACGTTACAGGTCGCTGGGGATAAGGTCGTATCCCCATAATTTGCATATCAAGCGACTGACGACGATCCCATTACGAACCATTATGAACCATTGCGGCAGTTTGCAACCTTGTACGCAGTGGAACGAATACTTACGAATTGGAATCTACGTTAAGCTGAATAATTGAGAGAATACAAAATTAAATCAAATAATTATTTTGTCATGGAAGACACAGATCGACTGAGGCTGCAGTATGTGGCTGCTATGGCCCAGCAAGAAGTTTTAACGCAGCAACTTAACATTCATGAGTTCATCAGAGGCCGTTTTAGGCGGAGAAGGGGAGCCAGAGGACGTGGCATCTGGAGGAGACAATGGTTGAATCCAGAGAGACGGCGCCAATTCGGCATATATGATCAGCTCATGGTGGAGCTGAGAAGAGAGGACCCCAGAACATTCAAAAAGTTCCTCTGTATGCCAACAGAAATGTATGACGAAATCTTTGAGAGGGTACGTCCTCGGCTATGGAAACAACATAGCTGCTACAGAGAGCCTTTAGGTCCAGGCCTCAAACTAGCTGCCACTATTCGCCACCTGGTTTCTGGTGCCAAGTACTCTGACATGCAGTACTCCTGGCGGGTTGCTGAGAATACCCTCTCTGTAGTGGTAAGAGAAGTCTGTCAAGCTATATGTGACGAATATGTTGATGAGGTCATGACTGCCCCCTCCACACCTGAAGAATGGAAACAATTGGCTGATGGTTTCCTCGAGAAGTGGAACTTTCCAAATTGCGTTGCTGCAATTGATGGCAAACACATAGCCATCAGAAAGCCTAATAGCTCTGGTTCCTTATATTATAATTATAAGGGTTTCTACAGCATCATCTTACTGGGAATTGTCGACTCAGACTACAAGTTCGTGTGGTGTGATCTGGGTGGTGAGTAAACTCTACATACGTTACTGCATTAATTTTGTAATTATATAGATTTAATACAATTATAGCTATATTTGCAATGTATACCGACAATATTTTATCCTCTTACTCCTGTATAATTTCAGGATATGGTTCGTGTGGAGATGCCAGGATCTATAATGCATCGGAATTCTTGGAGATGGTGCAGGATGGTTCGATCGCATTTCCACACCAACAGCCATTTCCCAACGACACCGTTGATATGCCTTTTTCTTGGTAGGGGATGACGCATTCAGCCTCAGTGATCACATGCAGAAGCCCTATGGACATAGAACCCTCACTAGAGAGGAAAGAATTCTAAACTACCGGTTATCGAGGGCTAGGATGGTTTCAGAAAACGCCTTTGGAATTTTGGCCAACCGATTCCAGGTACATTGTAATTTATAATATTTGTCGGCGAAACAAACAGTTAAACTCCAAGTTCCTGGGACTATCTAGATACGTTTATACGACTTCGAGTAAATGAGACTTCATTCGAACTTCCGCTAATTGAGACATGAAAATAGTATGTTTTGTTTGATAAATAATTTGAAAGATGCGCATAAATTGGAACCGACTGAGTTCCACATTCGACCTATAACAGTTTAACTATTAATCCGTATTTTCAAATTAATTCAATTTAACGCATAATAACATTTCAGGTACTCCTCTCAACGATGAACCATAAGCCATCCACAGCGAGGCTGATAGTCAAGACATGCTGCATTCTCCACAACTTGATGAGAATGAGGTACCCTACAATGCAAAATGCACTGATTGACCAAGAGGACAGAAGAGGCGACATGGTTCCTGGGGAATGGAGGAGAGATCGCAACTTGGAAGATACCAGGGCTGTCAATATCAGAGGCCACAACACAGCAAACAAAAAGGGGAAGCTTGTGAGAAATACTCTGAAGCACTGGGTCAACTCTCCAGCAGGAAGTGTACCATGGCAAGACAGGATCGTGCCAAATTAAAGGTTGGACTTTGAGAAATGATCTAAAGCACTGTGTCAACTTAAAACCAGAACAACGGCAACGCCAAAGCGTAGCGAATCCCATCGAACATTTTTCAAAAGGGGCACCTTCTACCAAAAGTGTCATTAGACAGTGTGCCATGCTTATAATATTCACATACCAAATATGAACAAAATCGCTCAACTAATTTTTGAGTTATAGTAAAATATGTTAAAATGGTGGCCATTTTGAAAAAAATGGCCGCCTTCTACCAAAAGTCTCATTAGACAGTGTGCCATGCTTATAGTATTCACATACCAAATATGAACAAAATCGCTCCACTACTTTTCGAGTTATAGTAAAATACGTTAAAATGACGGCCATTTTGAAAAATGGCCGCCTTCTACCAAAAGTGTCATTAGACAGTGTGCCATGCTTATACGTATTCACGTACCAAATATGAACAAAATCGCTCCACTACTTTTTGAGTTTTAGTAAAATAAGTTAAAATGGCAGCCATTTTTCAAAATGGCCGCCTTCTACCAAGAGTGTCATTAGACAGTGTGCCATGCTTATAGTATTCACATACCAAATATGAACAAAATCGCTCCACTACTTTTCGAGTTACAGCAAAAATCGTAAAATAACGAGTAAAGGCCGCCATTTTTCAAGATGGCTGCCATGTGCTTTTTTAATATCTACATTTCTAGCTTTATTAATGTCCTATATAATTTTTTTTACATTTAAAACATATTGCTATTACAGTTTTACATATTGCACCTAAATTACTGTAAAATCGGCACTAAAATGGCTGCCATTTTTAAATGAGTGGCCATTTTGAAAATCGGCTTTCGAGCAGAACTTCTACCCCCATAGGGTATATGTGTACAAAATATGAATAAAATCGGGCCAACGGTATTTGAGTTATTGCCCGGACGGACGGACAGACGGACGGACGGACGTACGGACGGACGTACGTACGGACGGATGTACGTACGGACGGACGGACGGAGGCGTTCCCTATATCCCTCCGAACTTCGTTCGATGGGATAATTAAGTGTAATTTGCCTGACATAAATTGTAAAAACTAGTTTAAACGTATTTTTGTTTTACGAGTCTAATAATAAGAAATGTATTGATATAATATCAAAGGGAAAATACCAAACATGATCAGAAAACACAAGATAAACAAACTCTTTAAGCGAATATTGTCATTAAAAACAAACCCCAACTATCCCAAATGAAATTCAAGCGTCAAAAGAAACAGTGTCCAACACCCCTCCCCTTCCATTCTAATATCAAATATTACGACCCAAAACCATAAAACATAGGGATATTTCATTCAAACTGAAGTAATTACAATAATTGCTTGGCACGGTAACCAATTGTACGTGTTAATAACATTCCCAATGGATGATCACTGTATGAATTTCAAATCTGTGTTGACTACGACCTCTTAATTAAGGTAGACTATGTTAGAAATGTCAGAAGAGCCATATTGAATACAGGGTGACACCAAAAAATGCCACCCACTTATTTCAGAATGACTTTCTTTTATGTGTAGATAGAGTGTTCAATGGAAGAAAGATTGGTATGCTTGCATTGCATCAATAACTAAGAATAAAGAGATATCACATTTTCCGCGGAGGCATGCTCTGACACAAAATCGTTCGAAAATGTAATTTAGAAATCTTTCTTTTTTTAAATTTACTTAAAAAGTGAGTCAGTTCCTCAAATATAGCACAAATTATGAAGGAAAATGGGTAGATATGACATTTAAATGATAAAATATGTGAAAGCAATACAGAAATGACACAAATAATGGCTAAGAAAGAAATCTCAATTTCAAAAAATTGTATTTGATGCAATTCAAGTACATCAATCTTTGATAAAAAATTACGAAGATTCCGTCGTTATTGACAAAGTTATTCCAGAATAAGTGGGTGGCATTTTTTGTGTCACCCTGTATATTGGCACGGCAACAGAACATATTGCCAAAAATCTGCTTGATTTATATATGATAGTGTGGTGTTGTCAAGTAAATTGACCCTTACACTTTTCGCAAAGGTTCGTTTAGATTCGGAAGCATGCGCACAATTGCGCTTTGGTTCGCATGTATGCGTTGTTAATCGCTGACGGGAATCGCTGACGCCTCCTGCTTTTCGTAAGGCTTTGTTCGGATTCGGAAAAATGCGCATAATTACGCTTTATTTCGCATGTATGCGTTATTACTCGCTGAAGGGGATGTCAAAGGTTGTTTGCGAGACGCAACGCATCTTAGCGAAGAAAAGTAGTAATTCGTCACACTTCGTAAAACATTCGCAACAAATAGTTACCTTACATTACTATTCGTTATGTTTTCTATTATGTAACATATTTTTAAACATTTTCGCTCAATATTCGCCAGAAATGACTAATTTACCACGTGCGTCAGGCTGCGTTTGGTGGATTCGTTCATATGTGAGGGGGCCTTTAAGGTAATGTAAGGTAACTATTTGTTGCGAATGTTTTACGAAGTGTGACGAATTACTACTTTTCTTCGCTAAGATGCGTTGCGTCTCGCAAACAACCTTTGACATCCCCTTCAGCGAGTAATAACGCATACATGCGAAATAAAGCGTAATTATGCGCATTCTTCCGAATCTGAACAAAGCCTTACGAAAAGCAGGAGGCGTCAGCGATTCCCGT